TGGGATAGAGTATGGACAGGTCGAGGGGAAACGTCTAGTTTTGATGTGGTTGGCATGCAAACGTTTAGTGGGTTTCTCGTTAGAAACAAAGGAACACAGAACCCATGTTTAACAGGATCGACCAGTCAAATAAAAGACAGGAAAACTCACCAAGATGTTTGAAGATGAAGATGGGTCTCAGTGAGTCCCAGGGATATTGTGGGAGACACAGACTAAGGTTCTTTTATATTCAGCAGCTTGAGGTGTCCCCTAACTGTGGGGCTGTTCCTGCTGGCTGAGCTGAGAGTCTTTACAAATTTATTCTTTTTTTTTTTTATGGTTTTCAAGACAGGGTTTCTCTGTAGTTTTGGAGCCTGTCCTGAAACTAGCACTTGTAGACCAGGCTGGCCTGGAACTCACAGAGATCTGCCTAACTCTGCCTCCCAAGAACTGGGATTAAAGACATGCACCACCACCGCCCAGTTTACAAATTTATATAGTAAAGATGCTTTGATGTAAGCAGAGTCAAAACAAAAACAAAAAAGCTGCTAAGGAAAATGTCAGAGACCTAGTGGTGGTGGAGCACGCCTTAAACCCCAGCACTCAGGAGGCAGAGACAGATGGTTCTCTGTGAGTTTGAGGATAGCCTGGTCTACAGAGTGAGTTCCAGGACAGCCAGGGCCACACAGAAAAACCCTGTCTTAACAAAAAGAAGTAAGGTCAGAGAACGGGAAGAATAGGGGATAACCTTTAGTCATTATAAACGCTAAAAGTTCCTTTTGATTAATTCTTTAGTTTCATTTCTAATTTAGCTCCCGCAGTTCTTACGAGTGCTTCTTGATTAGGTGGTACGAGTTTTATCAGGGTTTTGCTGTTGCTGAGGAACAGGTTACCTTGTGATTAAAGCAGGCTGCCTGTTTGTGGATGTCTGTTTAAGGAGACAACTTGACTGCCTAGGATTTTGTTAAGCAAGCAAGATAAACCAGTTTGGAGTACTTACTTTTATATATTTTTTTAATTTTCCCAAATACCTACAAGTTAATAATTGCCCCACACCCGGCCAGCTAGAGCACCGAATGGCAGCTAAGCTTGAAGCATTTCTTCCTCCTTTGAAACCTTGTTCTCCATATCTGTTTTCCTTTTCTCTGGAAAAGTTGCTCAGCTACCCTAGCTAGGGAATGTGTGTGGGGTCAGATTTATGTGCTACTTTTGGGATTGACTTTCTCAGTTTCACCCTGAGATGTCTTCTCCCACTGGGTCCTTCTGACCCAGGCATGGGGAATGTTTGTAGGGTTTCCCTACAAGGCCAAGGCCCTTGCAGGTCCTGGAGGTCCCTCCTGACACCTCCACACTCTCGGGTGGGAGTGACTTTTGTTTTGGTGTCTTTTTTATCACTAGGCGCCCATAAAATTCTTAGGCTAAAGGCTTGGCAAGGTCACAGAAAAGCAGAAGAAAAATCAGAGTTGTGCATCTGAGGAGGAATGTCAGGTGACAAAGGCCGGATGTTAACAAATGAAAACATTTCAAAGACAGTGAAAACCAAGACAGCTAAAACAAAACCCAAAATGCCTTCAAAGTTCCAAAAAGTGAACAAAAACCAGCTGGGCAGCCAGAGTCCAAAAACACCTGTAGAGGGCCAAAGGCAAGCCAAGCGGTTCAGACCAAAATGCTTTCAGGGAAAATAAAGGAGATACCTCCACCAAACACTCTGAAAGCAGACCAAAAAGGGATCTGTCAGATCTCAGAGCTCAGAGGGACCACGATCTGGGAACACAGGTTTCACAGATTTAGGTAACCGAAGATCCCATGCTCCGGCAAGGAAGCAGTTTCATGGAGTTTGTTTAGTTTTAAGGAACTGAGACAGCCATCCCCCTAAAGCAAGTTTAAAATGCATTGGCGGCCACTTCAGGAAGGCAAGAACAGCGAGGTGGAGGGAACTATCCCGGAGGCCTGGCGGAAAGCCTGACGTGCTACCCATAATGACCTTGACTTTCGGGTTGGTAGGAACTAGACGCCAGCAAAGTCAGAAGATCAGAATTTTATCTATTGTCACAAGACAGTAGGTTCTGATATAGGTGATAAGGGATTCCAGACCGGCAACATTCCAACTTCTCCACAGACTCAGTTTCCGGAAACAGAGTCTCCTTCGGGGAGTTTTCCTTAGTTTGCATCTGGTAGATGCAGCTTCTTGTTGTGCCCAGTCCGTGGGGACCCCAAAAGATCACCAGGGAGACCGACTCACCGAAATGCAAAAGCAAGGTTTACCGTGTGCACAATGCGAGTTGGTATGGACCTCGTCAAAGCAACGGGCACAGCAGCAGCAAGAGGAGGTGCCCTGCCCTTCTAGAGGGCATTATTTAAAGGCAAAACGCAGAAAAGTTACATTAGCAGGGTGTGGGGTGACGGGTTTCTAAGGTTTAGGATCCCTGATTGACTGACATTTGTCTAGGGATATCCTGGTGAAAAGCAATGGGTGTGTACTGGCCCGCGATCCTATCTCCAGCGGTTGGACCATTGGGAATTTCCTTTGGATGGTCTGTTCCTGGTTGGTGCCTGAGTAGTCTCAGTTTGTCATCTCTATCTGAACCAGGTATTGCCTCAGGGTAAACTTCTGAGACTCAGGCCTCTGTTGAGCTTGTCACCCCAGGGACCTACACTTCTGAGGTCTTGTTCACAGCTGGGGTCACGCTATGCCTGACTCAGTTTACGCAGCTTGTTTCAGAGAGGGCCAAGCAAAGTGCAGCTGCCCCCTTGTCCCCCTGGTCCATGGAGAGTGCACACTAAAGGCCGCTTGGGGGGGGGGTCTGGTTTATGATCTAGGGGACAGTAGAGCCTACAGACAGCAACCTCACAACTGAGGATGGTTTTGTTTTGTTTGGTGTGTGTGTTTGTGTGTTTGTTCAAGGCAGGGTTTCTCTGTGTAGCCCTGGCTGTCCTGGGAGTCACTCTGTAGATCAGGCTGGCCGCCTCGAACTCAAGAGATCTGCTTGCCTCTGCCTCCCAGATGCCGGGATTAAAGGCAGGTGCCACCACACCCTGCAACAACTGAGGTTTTTATTTAGTGGTTTTTTTTTTTCCCCTGGTGCTGGAGTGGGACTCCAGAAGCCTCAGAAACATTGGGCAAGGGCTCTGATAGGGAACCGGGAGCCTGGCCTTTGCCTGGAGGCTATTCTTTTTGTTGTTGGTGGAGTGTGTCTGAAAGTGTGTATAATGTATGTGTGCAGTGTGTGTACATGTGCTTGTGGATAGAGGTACACACGTCTGTGTACGAATGAGTAGAGGCTGGAGGAGGCCATCATCTCTCACCACACCCAGAGCAGTGCCCCTCCTGCCTCTCCCCTGCAAGCCCAGTGCCCCTCCTGCCTCTCCCCTGCAAGCCCAGTGCCCCTCCTGCCTCTCCCCTGCAAGCCCAGTGCCCCTCCTGCCTCTCCCCTTCAAGCCCAGTGCCCCTCCTGCCTCTCCCCTGCAAGCCCAGTGCCCCTCCTGCCTTTGCCCTGGACAGCACTGGGGCTACACTTACTGGCCTATACATGGGAGCTGAGGATTTGAACTTAGGTTCTCGTGATGCTTAGCAAGTTCTTTGAGCCTCCTGTAGTCCAGGGCAGCCTGAAACTCAAGGTGTTGCCAAGGTTGGCCTTGAACCTCTGTTACCCCTGCCTCTACCTCTGGAGTGCTGGGAATATAGGTGTGTGTCACCGGACTGAGTGTGTGTGTGTAAGAATGCATGCATACCCTCAAGTACGACGGCACAAATATGGAGGTCAGAGGAGACCCCTCGTTTCTGACAAGGTCTTTTACCTTTGTGAAGGTGGTTACCCGAAGTAGATCCCTAGCAAACAGAGCAGAAAGCTGGCTACTTGCTCGGCTCCCCATCCTGTAGCCACAGAGAGATAAAACATGCCTCAGGACAAGCAGACCGAGCCGTGCCCATTTTCCTGGGAGAGCTCTATCTGTCAAGAGCTCCCAAGCTTGGCGTGGTGACCCTGTACTTTGGAAACACAGATGCCATCTTATCAAGGACATCTTTAGTTCTTATGTAAGGTAACCAGAAGCCTTACAACTTCCCCCAGCAGCAAGGACTTCCCCCTGTCAATCCAGCTAGGCAGGAACCATTAGCCCTGTTCTGAGGAGGGGAAACTGAGGCTCTGGGGCTCTAAGCAAGGGGTAGCGACTACAGGCAGATGTTCTGTCACTGGGTCTTGTAGACAGAAGTATTTTACTGCTTTAATCCTTTTTACGTTTATTTTATTATTTGTGTGTATGCTTGAGGTCAGAGGACAGCCTGCCAGTCACTTCTCTCCTCCCACCGTGTGGGTCTGGGAATGAAGCCCACTTTGTGGCTTGGTGGCAGACACTTTTTCCTACTGAGCCATCTCACTAGCCCTTGTTTTTGAAATAGGCTTTAATATGTTTCAGGCTGTCCTCAAGATCACTGCATAGCGGGAGGATGATCTTGAGCTCTTACCTTGATCTCCTGATCTGGCGTCCACATCTTGAGTGCTGGGATCACAGGCAGACATGATTTATGTGGTCCCTGGTTTATGTGGTGGTACACCTTTAATCCCAGTACTCAGGAGGCAGAGGCAGGGGGATCTCTGTGAGTTCCAGGCCAGCTAGGGCTATACAGTCTTTGGGGCAATGAGACCTGAATTTTATCCCTAGAACTCACAAGGCATAAAAGATAAAAGAACCAACTCTAGCAAGTTGTCCTCTGACTTTCACACAGCTGCTCTAACGCGTGCACATGTGTATGTGCACACACACACACACACACACACACACACACACACAATAAATGTAATTTTAAAAGAAACGTAAAAAAAGGTGGTGGGCAATTGAGGAAGTCATGTGAAGTCAGCTACTGGCTTCCACACACACATGTACCCTCACCAATGTGCATGTGTACACACCCAAATGAAACACACACACACACACACCCCCCGCCCCCAGATTTGAACTGGGAAGTGGCGGTCTGTTCCTGCTAGGTGACAGAAGGACCTGTCTCCCCGTCCAGCTGGCAGAGGCAGTCCGCCTCCGTGACTGCGTGTCTAGCATCACAGAGACAATGCTTTAGCACTGATGGCCTGGCTCTCCTGCCCTCTACCTGTCCTCCTGCTTCGGAAGGTGGGCATGGGTCAGTGACAACTTCCGCAGGCCGAGGTCGATGACCTGGAGTTAGGATGAGAAACAGATTAGGAAGTCTGAGGCCTTGCCAGGGAACAGTGGTCCAGAGCCAAGGATGGCGTGGGGACACCTCCATTCCTCTGACTCTCCCAGCACTTGGAGCAGAAGTCCCCGTTTCCTTCTTTCTTGGAGCAGGGGGCCTGCTGTGGTTTGTTCAGGGTGGGCGGGGAGTGGGCGTGGGTGACCGCCTCCTCAGGGCTTGGCCCGCCTCCTCCTCTCCACAGACTGCCTTGTGGGACAGTCTCAGCCTCAGTCAGTCACCGTGTCCTGGAGTTGGAGCCTAAACCAGCTGAGATGCCTTCTCTGGGCCTGGTGATGGAGAACGGCCAGGCGCTCCCGGCCTTCCTGCTCTGCAGCACCCTGCTGGTCATCAAGATGTACGCGGTGGGTGTCATCACAGGCTACACTAGGCTTCGGAAGAAGGTACGTGACCTGGGGTGTGTGAGAGCGGGAGTGTGTGTTGGGGGGATTAGCACTCTGCTGGTTTTTCCCTGCAAGAAAGTCTGGGAACTGAATAACGTGCTCGCCAGCGTGCAGAAGTAGCTATTTCAAAGCTGCCGCCGCAGCCCTTCTGGATGCTGGGCTTCGGCTCCAGAACCTGCCCGCATGAGAGCACCCGGGGTTTCCTCTCTCAGCGCCAGGGGAAGCGACCTCCACCAGGAGACGCACGTGGAGCACAGGAACTCTGACAACAAGAGAAAGGTGTTCTGACCTGGCGGTTTTCCGGCAGACAGGGAGGAATTTCGTATCTGGGTGGAGTGGGAACCGGTAAATCAGGAGCCCAAGAAGTCTTTCCGTGGAAATTCCCACTCCCCGTGGACGCCACACACAGACTCACGGCAGCCTCCGAGGTTTGGTCTTAGCCAGAGGGGTCACAGACAACACTCTGTGATCCCTGTCCGGAGAAGGAAACAGCAATAAAAGAGCCCACACGGAGCCGGTGGGAGTGGCCAGGACACTGGGACCCATTCCTCCGCATTGGATGGACCCCTGGAAGCCGCTGGAAAACAGAACTGCACGAAGTATTTGTTGCCTTTTCAAAACCAGCCTTTGTCCAGCCCAAAGGCAGCGTGAACAGGGTGCGGGTGGGATCCCTGGGTGGGACTCTTGCCCTCCAGCGGGGTTCAGCCCCTAGGGCACGTACTGGCAGGAATAAAGGCAAGGCCACCACTTACTGGCTGCCTCTGGTTCTCCTGTTTAGTCGGTCCTGGGATGTAGGACACAGGCAGAGATCGCTATACTCAGTTCTTCTCCCCTTTGCAGGGGCACCAAATCTGAACCCTAAATTTCCACCAGAGCCTGGAGGAGCAGAGGAAGTTAGGTTACCTCAGTTTTCCCACGGAGCTGAGGAGATGCTGTCTTCCTGGGGCTCCTCCCATCCCCTGAAGCTTACTGTCTGGTTCCTGAGCCTCACTTCCTCCTGGTCTCCATCCCCCATAACTCCAGATGCAACGGCCCCTGCTTTGGGCCCTGGGGCTCCTCGGGTGCCTTTTCTTTCTGCCAAGAGGTACCAGAGGATCACCCTCTGCAGAGAGAATGGGCACAGGCTCAACGTCCTCTCCCCACAGGCCTGGGGACCTGGGTGGCTGATGACGAAGGTGCCACTCACTCTGGTTTGTAAGACTGCTTCCTGCTGGAATCTGACGTGGCCGCATGGTCCTTCCTGGGAGTCCATGCTCCTTGACCTACTAGAAGTGGCTCCCCGATAGCTGACCGCAGGGGCTCTACTGGTGGCAAAGCCTGACCCTCAGGGCTGGGGGACTTGGGAACCAGCAGAGAGTAATTCTGGGTGGGAGTTCTCGGCCTTATAATATCACTTTACATTTTCCTCGGAGCAGGGCAGGAGCGGGCCATAGCTAGGGCCCCAGGGACAAACCAGAGTGAAGCACCACGTTTACCTCAGAGTTAGAAAAGTTGATTCAGCTGTCACCAGAGTTGATGAGGGGAGAATTTGCCTGGCGCTGCAGCAGGGAATAACTACCAGTGAGTCATAAGTTCCCAAAGGCAAAAATGTGACCTTGGGCCTCTACTGTCTTTCCGGCCCTCTCCAGGCTGCCCTGCTCTTCCATGGAGGCTCAGGTGCTCCATTTTATTCTGAGCCTACAGATGAAGATGTCCCGGAAGCCGGAAGCTGCAGAGTCTGGTGGTCAGGGAGGGGTTGAGTGTCTGATCAGGCTCTTGAACACCTCTCTAGCTTATTTGTTTTTAATTTTTTGAGACAGGGTCTTACCACGTAGACCAGGCGGCCCTTGAACTCACAGAGATTGCCTACCTCAGTCGGGATTAAAGGCGTGAGCCACCACACTCTGCTAAATATCTTATTTTAAATTGTTTTTTGAGATTCTTGGACTAGAACCTAGGGACTCATGCATGCTAGGCAGACACAGTACTATGGGTACATACCCTGAGCCCCCCCTGAGGGCAAGGCTAGCCAGTCACACTGAGCCCCAGGTTAATGATCTCTTTACCTACAAGCCCAAGAGATGGTCAGGAGAGTGCTTTTGCCGGCATCAGCTTTGGTACATAGCTCAGGAAAGGGGTTCAGGGGAGCAGGCTGAATGGTCTGTCAGGGATGTAGTAGCTGTACTGTCCCCTAGGCCTTGAGCTCTGTCCTCAGACAAGGACCCTCTCAGGGATAGTGACCCTCAGCCAATGTGTTTCAGGCTTTTGCCAACCCGGAGGACGCCCTGAAGCATGGAGGCCTCCAGTACTACAGGAGTGATCCAGATGTGGAGCGCTGCCTCAGGTGAGTAGCTCCGAGTGTAAGACCTGACTGCTACCTGTCTGTACCGAGTTTCTGATCTGGGGACTTGAGAGTCCCCTGTGTGTCTAAGGGTGGGCCTGGTTTCCTTGGACAATTATAGTTTATGCATTACATTTGCCTTGGAAAAGAGAATCCTCACGATCTAGAATTAGAGTTAGTCCAAGGTTGGTGGTGTGCGTCTAAGATGTCGATACCTGGGAGGTGGAAGCAAGAAGCTCGACCATAGCTCCAGACCAACCCACAGAGTGAGACCATTTGAAGAAAGCATCAGATAAAGAAATACAAGTGGGATATAGTGGCTCACATCTCGGAGCCCAGCATTTGGGAGGTATGGGCAGGAGTGTCAGGGGTTCAAGACCAGCCTCTGCTAGTAGAGTCATCCCTGTAGGTGGATCTCTGACTTGCCTCCATGCGCGTGTGCACTTCCCCCACCCCCAAATGTCAAGGTTTTAGAGTGAGTCTTAAGCTAGGTATAGTGACACACACCCATGACGCCAAGGCTGATGTAGGAGGATTGCCTTGGGTTCCAGGCTGGTATGGCTACAGGTAAAGCCCAGTCTCAAAAAGAAAACAACCTTTAATCCCTGCACTCAGGAGGCAGAGGTAGGTAGATCTCTGTGAGTTTGAGGCCAGCCTGGTCTACAGAGTGAGTTCTATGACAGACAGGGCTGTACAGAGAAACCCTGTCTCAAAAAAAAAAAAAAAAAGCGCAAAACAGCAAAACAAAAACGTCTTGGCTGTGTAAATCTCTTCCAGACAGAACGCGATTTTTAGCAGATGGCTCAGTTTTTAGTTTGGGGACATTTCTTTGCTGTCTCATCGGTGATCCAGAATGAGGAGGGGGCGCTAGGGCATGAGGGCACTGGGGTGATGGAACGAGGAAGATAGGCAGCTGGAGCTGGTGGGACGTGAAACAAGCCACATACACAGCTCCCAGCATATCCCCTGGCACCACAGGCAGGGGTGGGTGGGGCTGTGCCACTTCCATAACAGAATTCCCCTCTGCAGACAGAGTTTGTGTTCGTCATTGTCAACAATGTACACACTTGTGGTTTTAAAAAATGACAGCAGCGTGGCCTAGGAAGTGAAACTCCAGGGCGCCCTGTCCTTTCCAGCAGGACGAAATGCAGGCCGATCTGCGTGTGTTTCATCAGACCCTCGGCCATTCGTTGTTTAACAAGCACCTACTGTGGCAGGCACTGGCCTTGCACAGCCATGACCCCATATTGGTGATTTGTGGTTGTCCGGGCCATTCTGAGCCACTGCGAGGAAAAAACTGAGTGGCCGAGGCAGCCATCCCAGCCAGCTGTCAGCAAGAGCTGAGACATTGTGTTTTGTTGCCTCCAAAAGGCATAACCTTGTCCAGGGAAGACAAAGGAACTATAAGGAACCCCCGCAGTCCCACCTACCCAGTAGGATTTTTCTCCTTCTCTTTTAATATTTGCTTTATATTTATTTTACTTTATGTGTATGAATTTTCCCTGCATGCAGGTATAGGCACCCCTTATGTGCCCACTGGATCCCTTGGGACTGATTGTGAGCTTCCACAAGGGTGCTGGGAATCGATCCCAGTGATCCTCTGCAAGAGAAACAAGTGTGCCTGACTCCTGAGCCATCTCTAGCTGGATTTGATTTCTTAGACTCTCTAGTACTGAAGCTTAAGTGGTTGGTTGGTATTCAGTCAGCATTTTCTGAACGTTCCTACCTGATAATGCTCCTGACCATCCACCTGGTGAGGCTTCAGTCAGGACTTGCTAGGTACTTGGGCTGGGGTGGACGCCAGCACCTGGGTAGCCGAGAACCCTCCTGACTCCTTAGAGCATCACAGACAGCTGAGGGTGGGAGATGAAGCCCAGGTTGGTAGAGGGCTTGCATAAAATAGAGTTGGAGGCTAGCCTGGCCTACATGAGACCCTGCCTGACAAAAGAAAGGAAGAAAGAAAGTCAGAGACTCATACCGACTGCCCACCACTAGGAACTGACTGAAGAGAGAGAGAGAGAAAACAGTTAAATATTAGAATCAGGACAGGTGCCCCGGGCTACAGGGCTGTGAACACAGGAAGCATGTAGCCTGGATCCTGGGTCATGCATAAATCTGCCTTGTAGATTAGCACATGCTGGAGACAAGCCAGGCTGGTCCTGGGGCAATCAGGAACCAGGTTTAAGAATGGAACTCAGGGGGCTGGAGAAAGAGGGTCCTTAAGAGCATTCCTCACTCTTGTAGAGGACTCAGGTTCGAGTCCCAGCCCCCACAGGATGCCCTTGTCTGATCTCAGGCATTAGGCATACATGTGGTGCACATGCATACGTGTAGGCAAAAGTACTCATACAGAAAATAAAATAGATAACTTTGATTTAACTGAATTTTTTTTCAAGATAGAGTCTCACTATGTAACCCCGGCTGTCCTGGAACTAGCTTTCGTAGACCAGGCTGGCTTCGAGTTTGCAGAGATCTGCTGCCTCTGCCTCTCGAGTGCTGGGAAGAATGGAACAGAATGGAACTGAGGCCACCTGTACTGCCTTCACCTAGAATTCCAGCACTGAGGAGGTGGGGCAGCAGGATCAGGAGTTCGAGGCCAGCCTTAGCTGTACAATATACCATAGAAGCTTGCACAGCCTACATGAGACTGTGGGTTAGAGAAGGAAGCCCTGAGTGAGCATGTATTGTTGACAGGGGCATTGACCGTGCCAGAGACTAAAGCCTCAGACCCATAAGGATGGCAAAACCTTCCTCAGGTGAGGCCCAGGGATGGCAAAGCCTTCCTTTGGTCCCAGTGCGAGCTCTGGCAAGATGTATAAAGACTAGCAACGGTAGCCTCCTCGAGGGTTTACAGGCAGAGACTGATTTGCTATACAGACCTCCTGACCCCTCCCCCTGTTCTGCACATTAATAATAAGCGTCTGGTAGAGAGCGAGTGGCCCACTGACCCCAGCTTTTCTGTGTGTGTCTCTTCTTCCCTTCATTCCCTTGCTGCCCCAGGCGGGTCCCAGCCTTGCTGGACAGGTACCAGCCACCTTCTTGTCCCCGGACACCTGCCTGCACTTGCAGATGGAAATGTGTTCACCTGAAGCTGGGTGTCAATTCGCACACAGGACTGTTCCCCCTGGGGGGACACCTGACCCAAATTTCGTCTTGTTTCTCACTGTTTGGGCCTTTAGCCTAAAGAGAGGTGCAGTTTGCCAAGAGATCTGGCCCTCAGGTGCCGACTTTCTATGTTCTGAAAATGATATCCTGCCTGTCCATTTATCAGTAGGGGACACAGACTCAAGAGAGGAAGGGACACCTGTGGGCTCAGCTCCTTGGTGGCAGTCAGTTGGGGGCCTCTGGTGGAAACCCCATTCCTCACTAGGGTCAGCGAGGGCCTGTGACAGGTTGTCAGCCCAATGAGGAGCAATCACAGTTGTGTCCAGGCCAGAGCTGGTGATTTGGGGGTGGTGATGATGAGGGGGGTGGTAGCAAACTTCAGGCTGCTTTTCCTCATTTTCTGGGTACGAACACCCACAGCACTCCGAGGAGAGTGATATTATCTATAGAGATGGAAGGGTGCGCCAAGGTCTGTCCCCGAGGCTGTAACTCCCTCTGGCAGGAGGCAAAGCTTCAACCCCGGCCTCAGTCCCCACCCCTTACCGATTTCCCTCTGCACATCCGCCTTTGGCACCAAGCAGACGTCCTCCTTGCACCCTGAGCTCACGTACGCGTGCCGTGCGGCATGGGTGGCAAGCTGGGAGAGAGAGAACATGTTGCCGCCAACTGCTGTCACTGCCCTGACCTGGGGTCACCAGAGGTTTCTCCCCACTGAGCAGTACCAGCTCTGTTACAGGGACGGAAGGTGAGGGGCGGACCCGATGCCACAGCGGGGCTGTGCAAGTCTCGTGTGGTGAGAACTGGTTTTGGGTGACTTTTGCCTCAGAATGCTGGTCATTATTAGAGTGACACATTTCTCCCTGCCTTCCAGTACGTGACTCCTTCCACGCCTCTGTTTGGATACTGTAGCAGGGGAGGAGAGGTGAGCTTTAGTTTTTCAAGGTCCGGATTTCCCCATTCCTCCCTGCCCCGGGCACCACCGTGGAATTGTGGGGCCCCATTGTAGCTTCAAACAGATGAGGGAGGGAGGCCCTGGGTCGGAGCTCCCTCTGCTCCCAGCCACCGTTCCCACCCCTTTGCCACCTGGGGAGGAATCAAGGAAGTGCCCCCCCACCGTAGCCCAGGCTGGCCTCTAACTCTCCAGCTGAAGATAACCTGCTCCTCTTGGCTCTACCTCCTAAGTGCTAGAAATAGAGGCTTGTGTCACCACCTCTGGTTTATGTGCTGCTGGGGACTGAACCCAGGACCTTTTCACTGCTAGGCTAATGTTATACCAGCTAAGTCGTATACCAAGACTTTTTAAAAAAATCATTTTTCTTTATGTGTATATGGGCGTTTTATATTATATACATGCAGTGTCCAAAGACACCAGAAGAGGGCGTCAGATCCCCTGTAACTGGCATTCCAGACAGTTGCGAGTCACCATATAGGTCCCCTGCAAGAGCAGCCAGTGCTCCCAATCGCTGAGCCATCCTCCGACATTATTTTCATGATAGGGCCTTTGTAGCTCCAGACTGACTTCAGAGCTCCTAGGGTCTTGAGGCTGACTTTGAATTCCTGACTCATAGTAAACCTCCTGCCTCAGCCTTCCAAGTGCAGAATACAAGTGCAAGTCAGCACAGCTGGCTCCCAACTCTCACGCTCTTATTTTGTGGGGGGAGCTGGGAGGTTCAAGAGAGGGTGTCTCTCTGTGTAGCCCTGACTGTCCTGGAACTAATTCTGTAGACCAGGCTGGCCTTGAACTCAGAGATCCACCTGCCTCTCCCTTCCAAGTGCTGGGATTAAAGGCGTGTGCCACCACCGCCTGGTCTTGACTCTCACTCAACACACTGTGCTTGCACATGTGTGTGAGCCCAGGGGCCAGCCTCGGCTGCCATTTCTTAGGTGCTGTCCCTCTGGTTTTTGAGATAGCTTCATAACTTGGAACTAGGCTAGCCCATGGGGCTTCCTGTCTCCATTCCTCTGAGCTGGGATTGCAGGTGGGTATAAGAACACATAGCTTTTCCATGTGGCTTCTGGGGTTTGAACTTGGTTCTTCACGCTTACATAGTTAACCCTTTATAGATGGAGCCGTCTCCCCGGTCCTCAGCCTGCATGTCTTAAGGAGCAGACAGTCTGGCACCCGAGCCCCTCCCCTCGAGTGTTCCCCGGCACCGTGACCGTGTTCTCATAGTCCCTGTGGTAGGCGGAGCTCATCCGCAGGCAGCTTAACTTTCTGCCATGGACTTCAAGGGTGTTCCCATAACTAAGACACAGAGGCTGTGTAGATACTGCGCCATCTCATTGGGTGCTATGACCTGGGGGAAACCTGCCCCATCTGCTTCCGCTCTTAGGTTTCCCAGCCTTCCCTGTCATCAGCCCCCAGAGTCCATCCAGGCCCATCACCCGGTGCCATGCAGCACTGTGGTCTACCCCACAGCAGGCTGAGGGCTGATCTCACCAGCCATACAGACTTGCTTTCCCTGTGTCTGAGTCACAAGTTCATGATCATGGTGACCTTGAGAAGGAAGGGGAGAGAGACTGACTGCCATACCTGAGAGAGTTCCAGGCCCTGCTGAAAGAAGGGTGTGTGGGTGGGTGTGGGTGCACACCCTCAGGCGTGCATGTGTGTGTGTGTGTGTGTGTGTGTGTGTGTGTCAGAGGGGGGGAGGGAGGGAGAGAGGAAGGGAGAGGGAGGGAGACGGAGGGAGGGAGGGAGGTGTGGGTGTGCCTGGGCCAGAGGAGAACTTGTGGCTGCTTAGTGCTCTTGATCTTATATTCCCTTGAGGCAGGGTCTCTCCCTGGCCCTGGAGCTGGGTCGACAGCCAGCACACCCCATCAATTGTTTCCACCCCTACCTGCTAGGGTTATTAGGGTTATTAGCACCTCGGTCACAGCCAGGGTTTGCCATGTTTTAAATATGGGTGGTGGGGATTTGAACTTTGATCCTCATGACTGCGCATCCATCTTAACCGCGAAGCCTTTTTTTAAAGAAAGAAAAATCTTTTTGTTGTTGTTGTTGTTGTTGTCTTTTTGAGATGGGTTTTGTAATGATTCTTTTTCTGTCTCACTAGCCAGCTCCCAAATAATGACATAGAGACATCTTATTAATTATGAAAGCTTGACCTATAGCTTAGACTTGTTACTAACTGGCTCTTATAACTTAAATTAACACATTTATATTAATCTATGTTCTATCATATGGTGTTACCTCTCCCATCTTGTACCTCCTGTTTCCTCTCTGTGTTTCCTCCCTTCTCCTGTGTGCCTGGAATCCCCCTCCTCCTCTCTCTCCCCAGAAATCCTGCCTTTACCTTCTACCTAGCTATTACTGTTCATCTCTTTATTAAACCAATTAATCCAAAGGTGTCTTGGCAAAGACACATCTTCACAGTGTACAAATATTCTGCCACAGGGTTTCTCTGTGTAGCCCTGGCTGTCCTGGAACTTCCTCTGTAGATCAGGTTGGCCTCAAACTCACAGAGATCTGCCTGCCTCTGTGCTGGGATTTAAGGAGTGTGTCACCATGCCCAGATAAGAAAGGAAATCTTGAGAGAGAGAGAGAGAGAGAGAGAGAGAGAGAGAGAAGAGAGAGAAGAGAGAGATGCTTATATACAGCCCAGGCCTGCCTCAACTCACTCACTAGCCAAGTATGACCAAAATTTATTTATTTTTATTTTACATGTGCTTACTTGCATGTATGCATGTGTACACCATGTGCTCTGTGTGTGTGTGTGTGTGTGTGTGTGTGTGTGTGCCTGGTCCCTTGTACCCTCAGAGGCCAGAGGAGGGCATTAGATCACAGATGGTTGTGACCCACTCTATGGGTGCTGGGATACGTGGGATACGAACCTGGGTCCTCTATGAGACACCACCGTTCTTCACTGCTGAGCCAGCTCTCTGGGCCCTGACCTTGAACCCTTGACTGTAGTTATTTTCCCGCCACACCCTATTCTAAGCAGAGCTGGGGATAAGCACTCCACCTCCTAAGCTATCTCCCCCCCCCCACCTTCTTAAGAATTTTTATGCCCTTGGCTGAATTTCTTTTCCTCCCGTTACCAGGCCTCTCTCCTGTCCACCTGCTCACTTCCCTCTTGTGTAGTTCAGCAAACAGGTCAATTCTGAATTCTTGTGCTGTTCTTACCTCTGGGCCTTTGTGTATGCTGGGTACTTTCCAAGAAGGTTCTTCCTCTGCCTGGCCAGCTTCTCCTCATTGGGGCTCTCTAACACATCTCTCCAGCCCTGACTACTGCCCCAGTCCCCTGCCCCCCCACCCCCTCCCCCGTAGCATTGGGGCGCTGGGTGTTCCAGGCCTCTACCAGGCTCTACCTCTATTGCCTTTCACTCAGTAAGCTGCTGATGGCTCTTGCTAAGACTCATTTTCCAGTGGCAAAATGAGGCCTCCGAAGTGGCTCGCCACAGACGCGCTGGGGCCAGGCTGGGCTCGCCAGTGGCCTGGTGCCGCTGGTCAGACAGGCTGCAGCTGGAAGCTGGAGTCCTCAGACTGAGTGATAGGGCCTGTCCTGGGAAGGTCATGGCTCGGCCACTGTTTATCTAAGCGGTCATCGATGGCTCCAGGCATTCGCTGTCCCTAGTTGACGGGCTTTGGCTGCCTGGTTCGTTTTAAAATGAGGCAGCACTCTAAACGGGGCCATAGAAACTGAGTGGCGGCCAGTGAGAGAGTTCTTTCTTGGCTATTGTTTATGGTAAGGTTGGATGCAGCCTTCCGGCCACGCATGCTTACGAAAGAGTGGGATAGCACGCGTGGAGGAGGGAAGGCTGGCCAGAGTCCTGTGCTTAGCTGGGCTGGTGAATGGAAGAATCCTATGGTTGGTTCAGCAAAGATGATGCTTAGTCCGCTGCTGGGGCAGAAAGGGACAGAGGAGGTACCAGACAGAGTCCCAATCCTGCATTCAGAGGGCAGGCATGTCTCAGTCCTGCCTCAGGGAATACCTGTCACTCACCCAACCCTGTCCTCTGAGTCCTCTTCCCTTGGTGTCAGAAGGAACAATGTGGGGAAGGTGGGATGGACAGGGCCGGTAGGAGCCCCGTTACTCCAGCTGTTAACTGGGCTTTGAGCCTCAGCCACATCTGGGTAAAGCTCAGAGTCACTGCCCCCCTTGGCCCTACACATTCTAGCTTATGGGCCAACAAGGGATTGGGGTATCTGACAGTCCCAGGAGGTCCCTGGTGGGTTGGGAGCCCCAGAACTAAGCCTGCTGACTGTACCCCTCTGCCTCCCTCAGAGCCCACCGCAACGACATGGAGACTATCTACCCCTTCCTCTTCCTGGGCTTCGTCTACTCCTTCCTGGGACCCGAACCTTTGATCGCCTGGATCCATTTCCTTGTTGTCCTCACAGGCCGTGTGGTGCACACGGTAGCCTACCTGGGCAAGCTGAACCCGCGTGTCCGCTCAGGAGCCTATGTCCTGGCCCAGTTTGCCTGTGTCTCCATGGCCCTGCAGATCCTCTGGGAAGTGGCCCATCACCTGTGACCAGTGGCTGGAACCTAGTCACCTACCACACTGTGGACAGAAGCCACCGAGGCTGAACCTGGAGACTTGGTGTCCCTTCTAGAATAGGGATGGGTTCAGGTCCCGGGTTCCTGGCCACCTAGGTGTGTTGGATCCCTGAGCCCAATGTGTGCGCGTGTGTTTCTTAGCCTCTTGGGCTCTGGATGCCCAACTAGAACCACTTACAGATGAATTGTGAAGATCGCCAGTACATCCTTGACCCTCACAAAAGCCTTAAACATCACCCACACTCCCTCGTGCCCCTTAAAACTGAAAGGACAGCTGGGCAGTAGTGGCACATGCCTTTGATCCCAGCACTGGGGAGGCAGAGGCAGGCAGAGCTCTGTGAGTTCGAGGCCAGCCTGGTCTACAGAGCGAGTTCCAGGACAGCCAGGGCTACACAGAGAAACCCTGTCTCAAAAAACCAACCAAACAAACAAAAACAATCGAAAGGACAGAGGATTCTCTAACAAAGCCATCATTCCCTCCAGGGCTAAAAATGAAGACTTCTCAAACCTACCCACAACTCTGGGCCAGCCAGAGAGGCCCAGCGGCGGCCAGATCCCTCTCAGACTGCACAGCTAGGGCACTTGCCTGAGGTGGGCAGGTCTCAGGTCCCTGTTGACACCTCCCTGTCCTTTGTTCCGAGTGCCTTAGTACAGGCTCAGGAATGGTAAGTGCATACAGTAAGTCCAGCCCGCCTGGTCAAGGCCTTAGCTCCTCCAAAAGGCAGTCAGTGATGGGCTTTGGCCGACCAGCTACGGAAAGTGAACTTTGGGCTTGTTCAGCATCTATGAGGTTTGAAGATACCAGACGTCTACCCCTGTGGAAAACCTCGTGTGTGTGTGTGTGTGTGTGTGTGTGTGTGTGTGTGTGTGTGTGTGTGTGTGTGTGGTGTTCCAGAGTCTTCTGAGACCTGTTCAGGGTTAGTCATTAAACAGTTATGTGTGACCTGTGAATGCCCTGTGTTTACTATTTCCAATGACCGTGCTGTCCCAGCTGGCCTGGTGCCTGCTGGGAATTTTTAGGGTTTTGGTGTTTGTATGTTTTGCTTGTTTGAGACTGGTTTCACTTGGCCCAAGTTGGCTTCAAACCTACTATGTAGCTGAGGACATGCTTGAACTAACAGCCTGCCTGTACCTCCAAAGTGCTGGGATTATAGTCCTGCACACCACGATGGGTTCGTTTCTGGCTCCCAGACAGCACAGACGACCTATTTGTGGACATGACACACCATCAGGCTGCTCCAGGGAAGTCCCCTTCTTCAGCGGATCCCTGATAACGTGGTCTTTGGCTTGGGATCCAGAGGTGTCCAAATCCTGTCCTGCAGCTCTGCCACCTGGATGCTGTTTTGCTGCTCCACAGGTGGAGACGCAGGAGTGGCGGCCTGGAAGTTCAGGGCCTGCCCCAGTGGGTCCCATGCCCCTCCGTGATGAGATCTGCTTACTGAGACCTAAGGAAAGGCCAGCTAGCCTAGGCTTCAGTCCCACCGGGCCGCAGCGCGCCGGAAGTGGACAGCACTGCCCTCTGGTGGTGAGGTGAAGCGTTGCTCTTGGAGGAAAGCAAACACCATAGATGGGTTCTCCGCCCCAACTCCTCCCCCCCACCACTCCCGTTTTTAGTGAGCATTAGGCTGGATGTACCTTCATATGTCATTATCCCCCTCACCACCCCACTTAATACTTGAAATAATTTTAAGAAGGAGGCATTTCTACATTTTAGACAAGATCAGGGGAGTTTAGATGGTCGAAGACTTTGTTTCTGCAATTTCATTTTATGTATATGGGTGTTTTGTATGAAGACATGTCTGTATCATATGTGTGCCTGGTGCCCATGGAAGCCAGAAGAGGGTGTTGGATCCCCGGAAGCTGGAGTTACAGACAGCTGTGAGGCACTATGTGGGTTCCCAGAAGAGCAGCCAGAGCTCTTAAACACTGAGCCATCTCTCCAGGCCCATTTTAGCCAAGGGATTCAGGGTCCAAGAAGAGAGATGACTTGCTCTGAATTCCTGGACTGGGACAGGAGAGAACTCAGCAAGGTAGGGCCCAGGATGGATGGAGGCCTGAGAGGCCGAAGCTGGGCAAATGAACATCTGTCCATTTCTGTGTTTTTCCTCTTGAGGAAGGTGGGCTTGTGACTGCCAGGTGTTCTGGTAAGGACCCGCCAGTGGCCTGGTGCAGGAACATGTATCACCCACAATGGCTGCATGATCTGGGGTCTGGGTGATGGACCCACCCCCCTCGGAGGGGTCTGGGTGATGGAGCCGGTCCCCTCAGAGGGGTCTGGGTGATGGAGC